TGTCCAGGTCCTTTTGGATGACATCCCGTCCCTCTGGTGTATCCACAACACCACACAGCTTGGTGTCGTCCGCAAACTTGATGATGGTGCCTTTAATCTCCCTGTCATTGATAAAAATCTCCCATATCATTGATAAAAATGTTAAACAGTATTGTCCCCAGCACGGACCCGATTGATTCTGTGATTTTGTGATGATCTGTCCCCCCTGGCAGTACCCCTTCGAGTCGCTCTTCCGCAGCCAACACTACGCGCTGCTGGACAACAGCTGCCGAGAGTTCCTCTTCCTCTGCGAGTTCTTCATGGTCACCGGCCCCAGCGCCCAGGACCTCTTCAACGCCGTCATGGGCAAGACCTTGGCCATGTTCCTGGTGAGGTTTTTCTTTCAAAACTTGGGGGGGGACTGTGGGAGACTGGCTAGCTGAGAAGGGTCACGTAGACATGGGCCAGCTAGTCCAGCAAGAGCTTAATAAGCACCATATTCAGCTTATCTAGCTCCCAACAACTGCAAGGCCTTGAAGTTGTTCTTCTGGCCTTGAAGGCAGCTGTGGTCCAACAACAGAATGTCTGTGATGAGGTAAACATGTAACTGTAAGAAAGGAATTATTTCGGGCGGAACTGTCTTTTTAGAACTAACCAATAATGAGCTCTCATTTTGCAATATGTATGAGCTAATTATGAGTGTGCATAAAAGAATGGTAGTGTGTCTAAATAAACGAAGTGCTCATGTCTTCCCTCCGTCGCAACAGGGGACTGCAGGATTTTTGGGGTTAATTTTTCATTAAAAAACACAAGCATTCACACATCTCTTTTTTTTTTTTTAAAGCTGTGTGTTTTTCCATGTCAATTTAATGGACGAAAATGTGGGATTTGGCTTCAAAAGCAGAACAGACACCTTGAATGTACAAGTTTCCACCTTTTAGGATTTCTAAGGAAGTTTTGATCTGCTCAGCAGGTCATTTTGCCTCCGTAGGGGAAGTCTGCACATTCAGGGTGTCTGTTTTCCTCTTGAAGCCAAGTCCCAAATCTCTCTCAATTTTGAAAAATAGCGTGACCCTGTTCTTTATAATTAGCTGTTGCCTCGCCTGAAGGCACAATGAATATACTTTAACACGTGGACTGACTCTCTTGCACTTTGAACACCGGAAGATATAATTTTTTTGCCCCTTTGTGTTGCCTCTGGGCCACTTCACCAGCATCACAGAGAAGATGGCCTTAGTAAATGTTTTTCTTCCCACCTTGAATGTACAAGTTTCCACCTTTTAGGATTTCTAAGGAAGTTTTGATCTGCTCAGCAGGTCATTTTGCCTCCGTAGGGGAAGTCTGCACATTCAGGGTGTCTGTTTTCCTCTTGAAGCCAAGTCCCAAATCTCTCTCAATTTTGAAAAATAGCGTCACCCTGTTCTTTATAATTAGCTGTTGCCTCGCCTGAAGGCACAATGAATATACTTTAACACGTGGACTGACTCTCTTGCACTTTGAACACCGGAAGATATAATTTTTTTGCCCCTTTGTGTTGCCTCTGGGCCACTTCACCAGCATCACAGAGAAGATGGCCTTAGTAAATGTTTTCTTCATGGCCTGATGCCTCGAGATGTTTAGTTGCTTTCCCAATAGCTCTTTGTGGCTGGAGGGGATTCCTACTGTGGAACTAGTTGGTGTGTGCGCTCCCTTGAAAGTGACCGAAGAAGAAGGAATTCTGTTTTAAAAACTCCCCCTTTCCCAAATGGCAGAAGCACATGGAAGCCTACGTCTGCGACTGCTACGACAGCATCGCCATCTTCCTCTGCATCCACATCGTCCTGAGATTCAAAGCCATCATGGCCAAGCGCAACATCCCCGCCGTCGATAAGTGAGTTTTGATCCCCCCCTCACCCCACCCCAAATCCCACACGAACCCCAAAATCCCACAGGGACATCCCCCTTCACCCCCTAAATCTGTTTTCTTCCTCCAGGTACTGGGACACGCTTCTGGAAATCCTGTGGCCCCGCTTCGAGCACATCCTGGAGCTGAACATCCAGAGCATCCAGAGCACCGACCCCCAAAAGTTGGGGTTCCTCGAGCCATCGTCAGCATCAACCAGACCTTCCCTAACGAGAAGACCCACGCGCTGCTGGGGCAGCTCCAGGTATTGGGGTTGAGGTGGGGGGAAGGAAGGAGCTCAGGGACCCCCCCCAAAAGTTTAGGGGGACCCAAAAGTGCTGGGGGGGGGACCCCCAACACCCTCTGCCCCAGTGTGTGTGTCCTCCAGGTGGAGGTGGAGAACTTCGTGCTGCGCGTGGCGGCCGAGTTCTCCTCCCGCAAGGAGCAGCTCATCTTCCTCATTAACAACTACGACATGATGCTGGGCGTCCTCATGGTAACGAGCCCCCCTCCCCCCCTCAATGTGACCCCCCCCAAACCCAGGGGACCCCAAATTTAAAGTTGGGGGGCTCAAAATGGATGTCATCTCCCCCCAGGAGCGGGCGGTGGAGGAGAGCAAGGAGGTGGAGGGCTTCCAGCAGCTGCTCTCTGCCCGCACGCACCATATTTTTGAGGTTTCCCCCCCCATTTTTGGGGTCCATTTTGAGGGGGTGGGGGTGGTCACTGTCCCCCTCTTGCAGGAGTTCATCGAGGAGATCCTGTCCCCCCCCTTTGGTGGGATGATCGCCTTCGTCAAGGAGGCCGAGGCGCTGCTGGAGAAGGGGCAGCTGGAGCGGCTGCGCGGGGAGGAGGGTAAGGGAGATGAATTTTGGGGACCCCCCCACCCCTCCAGCAGCCCGTGGGGGGG